TGCCCCCCCACCCCCTCCGCGTGACTTGAAATTATGGCCCCCCCTTGTTCAGATGCGTTCCGCGGTCCATGACCTCTAGTTCTAAGCCTAGTGCAAGGAACTGCCAACTGGCCGTGATCGGCCGACCTAAGTGTCCTACTGGGAACATATACAGTACATGCAGCAGGTCAGACAGATACTCAGGTGCCTGATCACGAAGGGCTCTGAATGTTAAAACAAGGATTTTGAACTGGATCCTAAAGCTGACAGGAAGCCAGTGTAGGGAGGCCAGGACAGGAGTAATGTGGCAGTTTTTGGGTGATTTGGTGAACAGCCTGGCAGCGGCATTCTGTTCCAGTTGGAGGCGATCTACATGAGTTTTACTGAGACACATGAAAAGAGAGTTGCGATAATCCAGACGTGATGACACAAAGGCGTAAATGACCATTTCTTGTTCAGCATGTGATACAACAGATCTCAGTTTTGCAATGTTTTAAGGTGGAAAAAGCATGTACAGGTCAACATGTGAATGTGTTTATCGAAGTGCATGGCCTAGTCAAAAATAACTCCGAGATTTCTCAGGTTAGAGCGGATATTTGAATTCAGGGACCAAATACAGCTCGCCACCCTAGAAGCAGTACAGTCAGGAGCGACAATAAGGACCTCGGTCTCAGCATCGTTACGCTGGAGGAAATTGTTGACCATCCAGTCATTAATTGCAGACAAACAGTCATGCAGTACATTCAGACTGTCAGTCCTGTCAGGATTAAAGGAAAAATACAGCTGAATATCATCTGCGTACATATGATAAGATACACCCTCAAACCTGTTGATAATGATTCCAAGAGGTAGCATATACAGAGCAAACAAAATTGGACCCAACACTGAGCCCTGAGGTACCCCACAAGAAAGGGGGACGGACTTGGACATAAAAGGACCAGATGCTACAGAGAAACTTCTACCAGAGAGGTAGGAGGCAAACCAGTCAAGGGCACTGCCTGAAATGCCAACACAGTTACTGAGCCTGTCTAACAGGATGTGGTGATCCACAGTATCGAAGGCTGTGCTAAGGTCAAGCAGCATTAAGATGGTACATTTACCAGTGTCAGAGGCTATCATAATGTCATTAGACACTCTAAGAAGTGCTGTCTCAGTGGAATGCTGCTGACGGTAACCAGATTGAAATTTGTCATAGATACAGTGCTTCTTTAGGGCAGGGACTAGTTGGTTAGCAACAACTTTTTCTAAGGTCTTTGAAATAAAAGGCAATTTAGAAATGAGCCTAAAGTTGCTAAATAATGAAGGGTCCAGATTGGGCTTTTTAAGAATCGGCTGGACAACTGCATGTTTAAAATATTCGCCTGCTGTTTTTGTTTGCTGGAAGCCAGGGATCATAGATGGATTTGGAGTAAAACGGGCTACAGCTGCCGTCTTGCTCTTCACGGGCTCCTTGGGCTTGGCTCCCTCCAGCAGCCAGCGGGCTTCGTTGATCCTTGCAGCGAAACGGGGTGCCGGGGCGGTGAGATGGGGTTCAGCTTCAGCAGTGGCGGGTAGAGCTGAGACCGGGGTAGCGTCAGCCGGAATGGTGGAGCACAGATCGGCTTCAGTAGGAGCTGCAGCAGCGGGCCCTACTGTGACCAGTGACTCCAAAAACTTTTGTTTTGTTCATCACGGAGATAGTAGAGATCGGATATGCGTCCTTCGAGCTCGACGATGGTACGGCTCAGGTGTAGACAACGATCGCATCCAGATGGAGAGGTAAGTGGTGCCATGGACACTGGGGGAACAGAGAAAAAAGAAAGGGCTCCGGCAGCAAAGGTGTGTTGTGTGCTAATGGTTAGCAGCTAGCTAGTTAGCTGGTGTAGCGTCTGTAACCGATGCAGTTAAAAACTTACACACGAGGACTCCAGTCGGAGTGGCAACCTGGGGCTCTCAGAATGACTGACAACTACTTCTGACTCACCCTCACCAACAGGGGAGGATAATATTGAGGGGCTAAAAGGCATAGAGCTGCTTTCTTGGCAATGGTGGGTGTGCAAACATGTTCTCCCCTGGGGGTGGATTAT